TGTTTATTTGTCTCTCCTCCCCTGTTCCCATCAACCCTGCCAGAAGTTTACGTATTTATTAGTCTTTTCTAAAAAACAGCTTTCGGTTTTGTCAGTCTTTATTATTTGTTTTACATTACATTAATTGTTGCTCCTATCTTTATTATTTCCTTTCTTCTATTTTCTTGGGTGCACTCTGTTGTCGTTTTCTCAATCTTGAGTTCATTAATTTTTAAATCTTTTCTAATATACACATTTCAGGATACAAATTTCTCTTCAAATCCCACTTTAGCTATATCCCATAAATTTGTATATTTGGAATGCTTTTATTGTCATTCAGGTCTAGATATTTCATAATTTCCATTATAATTTCTTTTTTAGATCCATGACATATATATATCTCCATTATCCATTTAGATATATTTAGAAGTGGGCTTAGTAAGATTCTGAACATATTTGGGGGGGCTTTAGCAGTTGTTTTGTTATTGCTGTCTAATTTTCTTGCATTTTGGCAAAAAAATGTAGTGTGCACAAAGTTGATTCTTCAGTATTTTTTGAGACTTCCTGTATACCCTAATTTTTAATCAATTTTTGAAAAATATACTTTATAAGGCTGAAACAAATAAGTATTCTCTATTGGTGGGGTGCAGAATTCTACGTATATACACTCGATCAAGTTTGTTTCTTATGGTGCTCAAACTTCCTATGTCCTAATTACTTCTCTGCTTGAACTATTAGTATCTGAGAGAGGGGAGTTTAAAAATTCCCACTATGATTATGGATATGTTAACTTCTCCTTACAATTGGGTCCAGTTTTGCTGTATACATTCTAAAGCTATGTTGTTAGTATTCTGTGGATTTAAAATTGCTTTATTTTCTTGGTGACTTATCCTTTTATCATCTAGTAATAACATTATCATCTAGTAATAATTAGATGAATGAACATTTATCATCTAGTAATAACTCTATCCCTAATAATATAATTTTTTTTAATTTCAAAATCTACTGTTTGATATTAGTACAATTACACCAATTTCTTTTTGGTTAGCATTTGCCTAGTATATCTTGTCCCACTAAACTATTTTCAACCTTTCAGTATCCTGTTTTAGGTTTTGTCTCTCACAAACTACATTTATCTTTTTAAAAAATTTCTTAATAATTTCTGTTGTCTGGCTAATTTAAACATTTACATTTATTGTGATTACTAATATAGCTGGACTTATTTCAATCTTCTTGTTTTGTCCTTTACATTTACTATGTTTTGTTTTCCTTCCCTCTCTCCCCAAGCACTCTTTTCCTTTCTTCTCTTGGAGTGATCAAATTTTCTTTATTCCTCCATTGTTTTAAGTTATATATTCCATTTATATTACTTAAAGGGTAATGCTTAAACATAAACTCTTGACTTAAAATACATAACACCTCTATCCTCCTTCTTAACATGATAAGGGCCTTAGAATGCTCTAACCCCAGTCTCCTCCCATTCTTCTGCCATGTTATTATTTTCCAGCATTTAATTAAATCTTTTTTAAACTTTCCCCAAAATTAGTCTTTATTATTGTTACTATTTGTTCCATACTCCATGTTTTAGTTATCCCCTTCTTCTCATTTTAAATTCCATTTCCACTAAATAGCATTTAGTTACTGTCCTGGTCTCTTAATTATTTGCTTTTTATACCAAATAATCCGCAGTTACACTGAACACTCCCTTAATCATTATTTTTCTTTCTGATCATAATCTCTTATCACCACTTTGTACTTAACATCTTTATTAATGAGCCTTCAAACAGAGCTGATATTGAAGAAATATACAAAGTTAGTATTTCTTATCTGGGCCAAAATAAATTTAGGAATTTCTTTTGTTTTTTAAGTCAATAAATATTTGATGATATTCCCTAGAGTGTATCTTTATATTCTCTCTACATACAAAACCAAACCTGCAAAAAGACCCTTTTATAAAAATAGCTCTCTCCTTCTTTGCCTTAAAGATTCAAATAATATTTAGTAGCAAGCATATTTGGAAAATAATTAATGCAAAAAGTGCTTCTCTTTCACAGATACAGGAAAAGGAATTAGGTGACATGCTAGCTCAATGAACAAACTATTGGCTCTAACAGAAGAATGACTCAGTCTGACATATTAAACACCGAATGATTTCTAACAAGTGGAATCAGTGTAAGTTGCTCTTCATTTAAAAAGCCAATCAGAAACAGAGTTCAGAGCTTATACCAGTTGACACTGAAAAATGCCTCATAAACATCTGCACATATCTACAGGAGATGGGGAGATATAGCATCAACTTTAGAAATCACTAGTCTAGCTCATTCATTTTTTTATTGTGGTAAAATATGCATAAAATTGCTCATTCCTTTTTACAGAGTGGCTAGGTGACCTGCCTAAGATCACTCAGAAAGGATGACAAGGCTCTAAATGGGTTCAGGCTCTACAATGGGGAAGACTAGTTGCTGGGGCGGGATGGGTGTGCAGCGAGAGAAGGCAGGAAGGAGTGCGATTCTGCACGTGCAGGCTCATGGGAGTTCCCCGCAGAAGGTACTTGGAGTATTTTGGTTAGCCAGAGGAGCTTGACAACGCAGCCAGGAAGGGAAAAGAAGGCAAACATGAGGACTTGTCACAGACTACCCCCAAAATAAATACAACTAAAGGTTCAGACAACTTTTTTAATCATTAAAATGTTGGAGAGGAAAGTCCAGTGCTGCAGATTTGCTTTAACGAGAAGACAGTTCTTTTGCTCCTGAGGGAAGGCAAGCCTGGATCAATAGCTGGGTCATTAGGATGGCTCAGAGCCTGCAGGAAGTATTTTATCAACAAGGACTTAACAGGATCTTTTATGTGCCTGGAGCACTGCTTGATATAAAAGGAACAAAGTGATGAGTTTTCTGTGCTTAAGGATCTCACTGCATCAATGAGGAAACATAATTATGTTCAAAGACCAGAAAGCAATTAGTAGCTGTATCAGGGCATTCAGGAAAGGGAGCATCATGGGCCAGGGTGATGAGGCAAGGACATGTGGTCTGGAAATGTGTGGCTTAAATCAAAATCATAACACCACCAACAGCACTATTTACTGATTGCCTACTGGGTGCCAGGCAACATACTGGGCACTAATTTTTTCTTCACAATATCTCAGTGGAGACAGGTGTTATTATCCCCATTTTACAGATGAGGCCACGGACTCAGAGAGGTTGAGTAAAGATTACACATGTCGTTTAAGGCAGAGCTAGGGATTCAAACCTGGGTGTGACACAAGAATCAAGCTTCATCAGTTCTCCATACAGCCCCTTCCATCACAGTAATGAAAGGAAAGGCCTTTCAACTTGGATTTTAAAACACTTTGTAGGGCCGGCCCGGTGGCTTAGCGGTTAAGTGCGCGCGCTCCGCTGCTGGTGGCCCGGGTTTGGATCCCGGGGGCACACCGACGCACCGCTTCTCCGGCCATACTGAGGCCGCGTCCCACATACAGCAACTAGAAGGATGTGCAACTACGACATACAACTATCTACTGGGGCTTTGGGGGAAAAAATAAAATAAAAAAATAAAATAAAATTATAAAACACTTTGTAGATGTAATTATAATATATTCCAAAGAGGAAGGCAAAAAATGACCTCCGTTTGCCTGCCTGGTCCTTCTTCAGTTCTCAACTCGAACGTCATCTCTTCCAGAACTCCCCCTCTGCTCCCCAAACTGGGCTAAGCTCCCCAAATAAGGACCATAATCCTTCACATGCAATTTCAAAAGCCAGTAAGCTCTGAAAAGTCAAAGTGTTTTCGGAAGTTTGCAGCAAGCTCGTTCGTTCGGTGGCAAAAGATGACCTGAACTGATGTGAAACTATTTGCTGTCTTTACTTTTCCTACTCAGTGTGAATAGTCACATGCTGATACGGAAATAATTATGTGTTTGATTAAGGGGTGCTGCCCACTACAGTTATTATAGAATATATAATATATGTATATTACCTTTCTAAAATTTGGATGTTTCTGACTTGCAAACAACATCTGGCCCCAAGGGTTTCAGACAAGGGACTCTGGACCTATACCCTATGCATAAATCTCACTGCACTACAAGCATTTATTACTCTTTGTAAGCCCAGCGCCTGACCGAGTGCCTTGCATATAATAGGTATACAACAAATATTTCCCGAATGAGGAAACTGGCTGAGAAATTGGCTAAGAAGGGAAAATGGTCAGTGGCTTCGGAGTGATCATCGCTCCCAACCTGCAGGTGGGGCCTCTAACCATGGAGTGCCACTTCCTTCTCTGACATGGAGGTCCTATAAATAGTTGCTGTTGATTGAGGGCAAGCAACATAGCCGCTGTCTTCCATAGGAATAAAAATAGTCCAGTGGTCTTACACGATGGGCCTTTAGCCCAGTAATACGAAACAGCAGGCATATTCACACCTCAGACCACATGGGCAGCCTCACAGGTCCCCTTGAACTTGGGAGCAGAAGCCCTGTGTTTGGGTCTCCCTATTACATGCAGTAACCTTTTTGGCCTGTAGTTTCCTCTTCTGTAAAACAGCAACCAGAGTAAGCCCTAAGACCCTCGCAGGTGGGTCTCCTAACAAGGTAACTCCTGGGAGAGGCAGCAGCAGTCGTCCCACACTCGAGTGCGATGCAAACCTCAGGAGCTTCTTCACTCGTCTACTTCCCTCGCAGTCCAGAGCTCACCGTCACCGTTTAGCGTGCTCTCTCCAACCTACACACACCTCCTCTCTCATGCAAGAGAAGCAGAGTCAATGCAAAAAGACGCATTTTATACCAGGGCACCCAGGGGGCTCTTTCTGTCTGCGATTCCAAACAGCGGTCAAAGAGTTCTGTAAAGAGGAGCCGTACAGCCCTTCGGTCTCCTGACTCGTAAAGAGGACGGGGTGGGGGGTAATTACCGGCCAGCAAGGACCGGATTTAAAGAGGAAACCTCTGAACTGCCGAGTCTCAGGACTCTAGAGGGGACTGAGTAGGCGAATGAGTGCCACGAGAGGGCAGCTCGGGGTGGTCCCTCCTTACCTGATAACACAGGATGGTTTGCTGCACCAGCCGCGCGTATCCGTCCAAGCGGACCCCGGAATTGCTCCTGCTCCTCATCTCCGCGATGCTCCCGGGGCCGCGGCGCCCGACCTGCTGCGCGGAGGTGGGACACCGGGGCTGCAGCCGCCAAGAGGGCCTGGTTCCCAAATAGTCAGAGCCTCAGTCAGTTCTCGGGATGGAAGCCGGCGCTAGGAGGTCGGAAGTGTTTTAAATGACAGAACTAAACTATGATTGGAGAGCAAGCCAAGCAGAGTTTTCGCACCGCTGGAAGGCGCGGGGGCGGGCACAGGGGCTGGCGCTATGGCGGCCCCGCCTTGACCAGGCCCGCTGCGCTCCCGACGCTCGCGGGTCCCAGGCGGCCCCGCGGGAGAAAAGGAGAACTGGGTTCTCGGAGTGGGGCGACGATGCCCCCGCCTAGCCTTTTTTGTCTTCAGGCGGTCGTGAGGAGGCCCCGGGGACCCTATCCTACCCGCCTACCCCGGCCCACTCACAGCCCCGCCCCCGGCCCCGCCCCCGCCGCGGAACGGAACGCTCCGAGTCGCAGCCTGAGGGGGAAGAAAAAAAGGGTGGCCCGCGGAAGCAGCAGAGAACTTGGCTCCGGGCGGGAACCAGTTTGCATCCCTGAGCCCCTTACCTCCCCGCCGGCCGCCGACCCCAGTGGAGGCTGGAGAAACAGGCCCTCCGGCCGCAGCCACCTGGACGCCCTGGACCCGCCCCCGGGCCCGCCCCTGGGCCCGCCTCCGGCTCCACCCCTGGGCGCGGAGCGGAATCCGCGGAGCCGGGCCGGAGCAGTAAGGGAAGGGGACTGCTCCTCTAGGGACCCAGAACTCTCCTAGCCCCCTCCGTCGCTTGCGGCCCCGCCCCGCCCTCAGATGAGCTCACAATCACGTCCCTGGCCCCGCCCTCTAGCCCCGCCCCCAGATCCGCCCCCGCAGCGGAGCGGAACCTTCCTTCTTGAGGAGGCTCCGGGGATGGTCAGCCAACCGCACCAGGGTCGGGAGAAATAGGCCCGCCCACTGCAGCCGCTTGGGCGCCCCTCCGCGGGCCGCGTCTCCGCCGCCGAGCGGAAGCCGAGTGGTGGGGCCCAGGCGGGAAGGGGAAGGGGCCGGCCCGGGCTGGGTCCCCCAGCTGCCCCCGGCGCCTGCGGCACGGACCCTACTCACGTGGGCGCCGCTCACCAGGCTCAGGCCTGCAGTCCATCTCCTACAGGCCTACAACGTGCAACTTGGCATTACAATTTTTCGTGGCCGCTAATTACCTACAGTTCACAATCTTCGGCCCAGTATTAGTTTTCCACTAAAATCTGGCCCCATATGAATTCCACTGGACGCCTTGGTCAATGTAATCGTCTCCACAAGCCTTTTGCTAGTCTCCATACACTTACTGTACTCTTGACCCAGTAGGCCCTTCTTGCCTATCTGAAGCCTATCTTTCCTTTAAGGGCCAGCTCACCTCCTCCCTCCCCATTCTCTGAATTCCCATAACAATTTCTTTAGTAAGAACTTAGATTTTGGAGTCAGTTCAAACTGAGTTCAAATTCCAGTTCTGCCATTTATATGTGGTGTGAGCTTTCCTATGCTGTTTTAGCTGTTTGAAATTCAATGTTCTCATCTGTAAAATGGGGATAATAATAGCACCTACCTTCTAGGGTGGCTGTGATCAAGAGGATGAATGTAAAGCACTTAGCATCATGCCTGGCTCATAGAAAAGTACTTCATAAATTATAGCTGTTTTCATCATCATTTGACAATAATGTATTTGCCTCATATTTATGTTTTCACGTGAAGCATGTTTTTCTAACTGGATTGTAAGTATTCATTGAAACAGTTTTTGGTATCTCCTACCATGCCTGATAGGGTGTTGAGCATGTAGTTGTAGCTCAATTAGTGTTGAATGAATGAATGAAAGAAAGAAAATCAGTCCGGCTCAGCTGGGTCCCCTATGTATGCTCCTTAACCAAGTTCATTTTAGAAATTCCATAACATAAATCTGTGTCACTCGACTAAAGCACCAAACTCCTCATCATCTCACTTACTATTTGTTTTCTTACTATTGGCTCTTAAATTATGCAGCAATCCATGTGATGTGCCTCTGTGCAGAATTTGCTATGCTCTAGAGGTAAATAAAAGGAGACATTAAGTTATCACCATTAAATCTCTTTTGGAATCCGATTATGTACTCTTACTAGAACTCGCATGTATTCTTCTGCATCTAAAAGCTGGGATCATTGCTTCTTTTCATTACTACTTTTGTTCACATTGAGTGCTTCTTCAAGAGTCCAGTTTGCAGCCATGGGGGAAATAACTGATAACATTTGCTCATTACCTGACATTTGCATCCACTATAGAAACATTTTCAGTTTCTTGATCTCATTCTTTGTAACTTCTGCTATACATACATACACCCCTTTTGGTGTATAGCCAGTCTACATTCTTAGGCTTTGGTCTATGCTTTAATGCATATTATCATATAAGCTATATTTACCAATAAGCTTGAAATTCAGGGATAAAACCAAGAAGGCAGGCTACTACTTTTTAGCTTTTAAATTTCCAAGCGAATTTTTAGTGATTCATTTTGGACTAGAAGCTGTGCCATATAAAAATCAGACTTGTATCTTAGTATTGTATGTCCCTGAAACACAAAACCTCCATATCTTGGTTCCCATATCCATGAAGCCTTTCTCTGGTTGTGACCCAATGGAAACCTGTCTCCAAGTCATTTTTCAAATATTTGTCAGGAATCTGATATGGAATGTGATGGGGTATGTTGTTGTTTCTGAAGCTGATTCATCATCTTCATAAGGATGAAAACCCAAAACTGGACCCTGGAGTAACACCACGTATGACTTCTCTCACCCCAACCAGAGGGTCTGTCCATTGTTCTGCCATAGGGGCTTCTGCCAAGGAAGTTCCCAGAGAGCCACATGTCACTGTCCAAGGTGGAGACTAACAAATGTTTGTCCTGGAAGGTTCAGGTCTTTGACTCTAAAGAAAAGCACTCCATCTTTGACATAGAGGAGAGGGTCCATTCTGAATCAATTTGCTGAAAATAGCCAATTTGCCAAATTTAGTTATTTCTATGAGAATTTAATTTTAGTTGACTAGAAATCATTTTGGTTTTCATTACAATATTTTAAAGAATGTTGAATTCGCCTCTGCTCTAGCTTCCTGTAGCTAGTTTGAAACTGAGGTAAAGAGAGGAAACACCAGGGAGCATAAGATTTCTTCATAGCGAAGAATATATTTATAACTATATTTAAAAGAATATATTCTGGAAGAAGGTGTTCAATTTTTGTCTGCCCCAGCTTTTTGCTATTGTGCCTAGAGGCTGAGGTGAAAAGAAAAAAGAATTTACTGATAAGAATTCTTCTCATTCATGTTCTTATGTCCACTCAGTCTTTCCTTTTCCTGTCCTTCAGACTCCAACTGCAGCAGCGAGCAGCTGAGGCAGAGACAAACTGAATAGTCCTTAAAATGCTGTTACGGAGACAAAATGACAACACACTAGTCCATTTGGTAAATTGCTCATTCAGTAAATTAGTTCTTCATCAAAATGGCCTTCAACAAACCAACCTAAGTGACCTAGTTAGACACAACTCAGTATCCCAAATGAAGTCATTTCACCATTTTTGCTGAGAACAATCATGATGCTACTCATTGAAGTTAATAGAGTTATTTTGCGGGATTAATGATTGCGGTGTGTTTTGGGGAAAAACTTCTCGAATGTTCTGAGGAACTACTTATTCAAATACTGGCCACTGCTGTGATACTTGTTGCCTCCTCATGTTGGCATCACTTCTGTCTTCTTCAATAGAGTCTTAGATTGTGGGACCAATTTTAAACCCAAAGGAAGATGCTTCTCAGGAACATTCTCTCTGCCCTGCCCCTTCTCTGTCTGAAGTAAAAAAATAGACAAGAGAATTTGGCTTAAGGACTGCAGTCAGACACAAAAGACAATAGGAAAATAAAGGGAGGAGGGCGGGATCGAAAAGACATTGGACATTGTGCATCCTTTTGTGTGTACACTTTGGTTACATAATCTGCTTCAGGAGATTTGGTTTCTGAGATCTCACCTCCCAAATCTAGACGTTCCTCATCAATTTAGTACACAGCATCTTGGAGGCAGCTGAGCATCGTGGAAGGAGAGATTGCTCAGAGACCTCTTGTGGAGTTGAGGCCAGCATCCCCATTTGTGGCTTCCACATGCTAATCAGCTCCCCAGAAACCCCAAATCCTGTCCTCACCTTCTTGAAATCCTGTTTGATGCTGAGGAAGCAGACACTTGAAGGGGATCCAAATCTGGGGCTTGTGTGGGCCAATGGCAACATGTGTTAAAGAGGGAATCTTGAAAGAGTAAGGGGAAAATGAAAAAGAGACCTCAGCAACGGATCTTGTGAGGCAGAACAATCCTTGCTCTAACTTCACAGTCAGGGCGTGCCTGCTGTTTGCCAAAAGATGTTCCTGTCGTGTTCGTCTGAATCAGACCCCTCCTACCACTTCCATGCCATGCCGCCAGGGAAAGAGATCTCAAACATTTTCTCTTTGTGCAAGTTCTCAAACTTAAAGGACTTAATTGCAAATTTATTTTGGCAATTTTAACATATAAATACAAGACAATTAAATAAATCGGAGAAGAAATATTGCAAAGGCAAATCAGCACTCACGGAAGTGTATTATATTATTTCTACGGTTAGTCTGGCATACAACATTCACTTGAAATATATGCAAGGGAACCTTAGGGAAAGACTAGACGAAAGGGTTTTGAACTGTTCCTAATAAGGACATACTTGAGGCACTGTTCAAGCAGCTGTAGGTGGGAAGCAAGATAGACCCTCTATAGCTAGGAGCAGTCAGGGTTTGATACATATGGAAACAATAGCATTGCAGGATAGTTCACCATTCCCAATAGTTGCTCCCCCTTGTCACTATACACTCGTCAAAACTTGATACCTTTAAAAAAATAATTATAGTTCTGGCTGGGCCAGAGTGTACCAGTCATAACAATCAACAAAGTACCATGCAGTTGTCTTTTAAAGAACAGCAATATGATTTTTATCTTTATATACATCTCTCTTAAAAAGAAAGGCTCTGGGGATTTGAGAAGTGGCAGTGTATGTATCTCCTCCACATTCACAATTTTCCTGACATATGGTCTAGATTACAGTTCCATCCCTCTCTGTGGCCAAGGTATTAAGCTAAACATCTTGGTGCAGATTCCATAATCTGATGATTAGGGATGAGGTCAGGAGATGGGTATCAGTACTGGATGCCGTATATGGTTGTTCAGGTTGTACCCTGCGCAAGGGGCACCTAAGAGGGTGAGTGGGGCTAAAATATGGTCCCCACTCTGTTTGCCAAACCACGAGCCCATGGGGCTGTGTCTGGCCAGTGGGGGCCCCTTTTTGTAACTCGCTCAAAGGCACTCTATGAGCTAACTGTGGCACTGTCTGCT